GTGTGCACAATATTTGTTCTAATATGTGAACGAAATACTATGTAATACACAGCAAGTCGATCAAATGTCAAACAAATTGAAATGTCAAATGCATGAGATTGATTATTTTTGATTTCTTGTCTGTCAGTATCGCCACCTACTTCAATTATCTCTTTGTATTTTACAACGTTCGGCATTAAAAATTATATCATTTATATTTTCCAAACTTCCAGAAATTATTGAAAATTTATATCAATTAAAAACACATGTATAATAAATTATCGTATGCATCGTATTCAAATCGCTACCATATGTTTCAGTTTAATGTCATACTTAAGTTTCAAATGTCATACATTTTTTGTTCCCCAATCCCAACACATCATTCCAGACTAGGAACTCAAATGTAATATATTTTGAACAATTCTAATATTTAACAGAACGAATTATTTATTTCTCAAATAATTAAAAGAGTTAATTTTTCTGGCGACAACTTCCACAATTTCTCACCTTCCAACGATATTTTTGAAACAATATAATATGAAATATATCTTTACAATTTTATATATTTATTTTTCAATGGGTTAAACATTATTTGGAATAACTGAGCTTTATAAGTTAAAATGCCAACAAATACACGTGTCAAACTGAGCAGTATTTAATAAATAATCGACAGAAAATTGTGCTGAGGGAAATGTTTCATGTATTCGCCATGTTCTGGCGATAAGATTGTGTTGAAGGATTTTTTTAAAAATTTTCGTCATCAACGTCATCATTCAAATCTTCCTTTGTGTCAAAAAATTTAAATTTGAAGCAAAAAAAATAATTGAAATTTTATTCTAAATGTATTTTATTGCACTTTGTGCTAATCTCTTTTCAAATTTATGGTTTTTTTTAGCGTGAATAAACAAATAACGTTTTGAAATTTAAAACTTTATGTATTGGGATGTGTTCACATTATGTTGTCAAACGAAATATTATTGGAAGTGAATGAAACAAGTAGACCCATTTCATTAGAATTCGTGAAATTGATTGAAAACTATGCGCATAGTCTCTATTCTTTGATACGAAAAATGAACATTATTATGTACTAAAAACGTTACAAATTCTCTCCCTTCTAGTTGATATTAGCGAGTTGAAAAAAATGGATACACTAAATGGGACACTATATGACGAAGTTGAAGAATTTGAGCAGAACCTACCCCCAACGGTTACATTACTTGAAACTGAATTTGGAAGCAAAGTGTACATTGTTGGAACCGCACACTTCAGTAAGGAAATGATATGATTTTCTATTCAAAGTTTTTAAACTTAAAAAGTGTTAAATTTTTGTTTGCTGGGTTATTAAGAAATTTTTCTATTCTTTGTGATTCTCCTCGCCCCAGGTAAGGAAAGTCAGGAAGATGTATCTTTTGTTATTCGAAATGTGAAGCCTGACGTTGTTATGGTTGAATTATGCCCAAGTCGTATACATATGTTGTATTATGATGAAAAAACTCTTCTTGAGGAGGCTCGAGATATAAGTTTAACAAAAATCCATAGTATAACCAAATCGAACGGATTACTGAATGGCTTGTTTTACATTCTAATGTTGAACATGAGTGCCAAATTAACTCGAGACCTAGGCATGGCACCTGGGGTAAGTTTATCAAGATTTTATAATTTAAAAAACACTATGCCATTCCCAATAGCTTGCCATCCATTCGTTCGAGGCAACACAATATTAAATTTTTTGATGTATTTGGTACCAAGCATCACTGAAAATTTATAACAGATCGTTTTCAGATTTGATGTGCAGGATTGCGTTGGATGTATGGATGTATGGATTATAGTGGGGAGAAAGACTCAAAAGAGAAAATCTCGTCGCGAAGGTCAAGAACCAATTGCAAAGCTACCCGTGGAGAAAGAGAAAAACAGCTCATTCCTACCGATTGATAATAAAATCATCCATAGGTTTAATGTTGCGACACTATTACGTGGGTTGTGTTACATTAAAAGTATCATTCCCTGTAACTTGTCTATCGTTATTTAGTAAAGTGGGGGTGTCCCT